GGGTATCATTCATTGGCTATTCATGGCGAGAAAGCCCATCGTTCTGTGGCTCCTTCAAAAAAGGGGCAATTTCTCGGCTTTGAGGCTGTCTGAGCCCACCAAATCAAGCAATCTCACCACGTCCACTTACCAGTTGGTCTCCATAGTGCTTCTAGTGAAATCTAACAGTCGGGTAAGGGTGGATAATTACCTTGACTGAGTGGTAGAAGCCCATTGTCGTGATTTGAGCCTCGGCACGATAGACCTTTCCGAATAATAATAATATTGTGATATCTAGTGAAACGAGCCGGCCAGCTATTGTCCCTGTCACGCACCTCTGAACCTATGTGAATTGCGACTTGCTGACATCCGTGACTCAACTAACGAGTCGAGTCGGTGCAAACGTTGGTTGGGGCTTTGGAGCTTTGGATCTGTTCTTTGACGCAGGTCGAATAGCTCTGGCGCTGTCCAACCGATACTCGGAAAGCTGATGGCATTCAGGTTTCTTGCCATTGCAACCCTACTAGTAGTAGCAGTGGGAAGATCAACGGCCTTCATCTCTCCCTTTTGCAGACAGTGTTGGAGCATTCCAATCTCCAAAACAGCAATCATGGCTTCGAAAGATGATGATGATTCCAACAAATTGACCATTCTGGGCTTTGGCTCTCTCCTATCGGAACGATCCTCTCGCATGACCTTTCCGGAATTGGAAAACTTTCGTTTGGGCAGAATACCCAATTATCGTCGTGTCTTTGGCCACGCCACTTCCATCTTTTTCAAGCGAGGCATTGCCAATCAAGATACCAAAGAAATGGGCAGTTTGTCGGCCGAACATGTTCCTGAAGGCCACCAGGGATTCATTTGTGCCGTATTCGAAGTACCCAATGCAGACATGATGGAAGATGGTGTGCCCAGTCAAGCATTCCTAGAACGAGAAGAAGAATTCAATATTATTGCTGTGCCCTACAGGGACTTGACGACCAACAAAGAGTCCAAGGGGATTTTGTGTGCCAGAGGAAGTGACGAAGAATTCCTCAAACGATGGGGACAAGCACATTTTGACAAGGAGTATGCCCAGTATGGAATCCAAACGATTTGGAATTGGAATGAAACTTCGGGACTGCGACCCTGTGCTACCTATCTCCGACACTGTGCCTTGTCCGCAGAGAAAATGGGCGAAGAATGCTACAACTCGTTCCTCGATGAAACCTTTTTGGTCGACCGAAAGACGACCATTCGGACGTACCTCAAGGACAATCCTCAAGTCATGACGACAGAGCCACCTCCAGAGTTGGCAATTCGCTACGGTGGATAGTGCTACCGAGGTACTACCGGTAGCCACCTGCAATGATGTTACTATTACTGGTGGCTACCAAAGGCTTGATCAATTGGTAGTCTAACATTAAGAACGCAGAAACACCTTGCTGATAGAGGCTGGCCATGCTGCTAGCCATGCTGCTACCGGTACTACCTAGCAGTCCACTTGGCATGTTGCGACCATTCGAGCAAGGTCAACGGAACATGTATGCCACTACTGCATATTGCTGATTGGATCAGGACATTCATGACTTGACTTCACACAAAAGACTCCTTCACTAGTAGCTAGCTAGAAGGGTCCTGCCCCCATTAGATATCTGTTGTTGGCGTGTGGTTTAGACAACAGCTTATTGTGAGCATGATGAATACATGTAGAATAGCCGTTGACGCACAAGAGCAAAAGGTGAACTTGATGGCTCCATTCGGTGTGTGCGCTTCTTTCTTCCAAGTACGCAACAATGGCTGGAAAAACAATCGCTTTCCGTGCCATCTTGCAACTAGCTCGTTACGTGTAGTAACAATCTTCGGACTATTCAAAGCAATCCAATACAAAGGGTGTCTAGAGTACAGTTTTTCTTATGTATGTATGCGCCTCATCAGAGTGACAGGTGCTGTCAACTTTGTTGACATTGGAGGCTCAACTGAAGTGGACATGGATCTGTTCCACGACAAGGGCCTCTCCTTCCAGTATGCATAAATAAATCATGTAGGGATTCTTGAATAATATGAAGTAGCCTAGTGAAAGAATCAAGCTGCCATCGCATGTATCTTCCAATACTGCAACATGAGTTCTTGTTGTGTGCGTCGTGCGGATTGTTTGCGCACATCTCCTGATCAGGTGCCAGCTCTCTGGATGTAGGGCAGCGCTGCCCTTGGAGCCAGCTTCTTGTAGGAAGCTTCCAAATCCATCTCGTGGTGGTCGTAGTTTCCCGTGCCACTCATGTAGCAGAGTTCAAACCCAACACCATCAAAGTTCAAGGATGCTGCTTGTGCCGCTGCAAACCTGTTTGGCCGAGGTGCGAACTTCTTGTAGGAGGCAATCATCATGTCGTCGTTGGAGGCACACTCTGTTACGACAATGCGACAATCCTCGCCATCAAACTCCACAAAGTCGTCGAGTGGCGATTGCTGCTTGGGGAGGGCGATATGATCAATGGTGCCATCGGCAGCAATCATATCGATCTTCTCTCGAAATGACACATGCTTGACTTGGCTGCTGCTGCTGGAGCGTTCAGAGTGCTCACAGTGATGATGCAAGGCACTCATTGGATGGTGGTCTACCGACGACGATGAAAAGTCCAAGGGATGGAGATGCATGTTTACGAGTTGCTCTGTGAAAAAACAGTTGACAGATGGTCGAACACAAAACTGTGCTTCATTTTCTCCCTTGTTGTAGGTGCACCGCATCGCTGTGACAAAAAGCAAATCCTGGAAAAAGCAAAAGTTATGCTGGCGAACGTTTCGTTTCCCTCTCAACTACTCCCATACTCTATTTTCTACTGCCATCGCAACGGCGGCCCTCGCCCCACTTTTTGGCCGTTGGATCAATGATCGCCGATTGTTCGTCTCTCAAGTCCCACTCACTCCCACGGATACCTTCACTGTTGCAACGAGAACCTGTGCGTACCGAAATGCATCGGAACGACACGGGAGAAAAACAGCTGCAAAAGCAGGAGGTGCGGGAACGCGACCGTGGGAGTTGAAGCATCCAGGACTGCGACTCACGAACGAAATTAGGGTTCAGGGCAGCTTTCAAAGAATTGCGGAACCTTGGCTTCAGAGGAGAACTGCCTCATTTCTCAACATAGATTTTCATGACACCCAGCACAGTGGTCCAATGGCCGACCCTTCTTTAGATAAGGAGCTGAAGGAATAATACGTGTTACTCTTGGATGGACAAGAATTTGAGAATGTGGCCTGTTCAGAAAAGCCCAGCAGTTGCATCCCGTGGATCGATCGCTACGCCGACGGTTGTGAGTGTGGCCGTTCTTTTTCCTTTGGCGGCGTTTGGTACCGTAGAAGCCATTCTCCATTTGAAAAAATATTTTGGTCGAACTCTGAGAAAACTCATCTCCATTGTGGACCCTGTGGTACCCTCCGCCGAGGTTATAGCCGATACCCTGTCCAGCGAAATACCCATTGAGGATTTGGAGCAGCATGTTCAAGAGGAAGCATCCAATCCAGTGATTGACGGTGCCGAAAAATGCATTCATTGGTTCGATCCTAACTGCAAGCAAAAAACTCCCATTTGTGTGGTCTTCTTTCACGGTTGGAGTGCATGCCGCCAAGAAGGAAGACCCGTGATTGGAAGAATAGCCAAGCATTTGCAAGCCAATTTGTATTGTGGTCGACTGCCCGGCCATGGACGACAAGGCACCACCAAGCCAGGATGGAGTAGTAATTCCAAAATGGCCCCAGATGGACAAGCTCTTATGAATGAAGCCAAACCAAGAGAATTGTTCATGTCCGCATTAGATTCTCTGCGGGTGGGACTGTCCTTGGGAGATCGTGTTGTTTTGGCGGGCATCTCAACAGGCGGAGCCCTGGCAACATGGCTTGCCTCCCTGTTGCTCAGCGACCATGATGGTGCTTCTGAGAAGGAACAAAAGACATTGGAACCACTACGAGAAAAGATTGCGTCCCTGATCCTGATCTCTCCTGCCTATGCTCTCAGTCATCCATTGTACCCCGTTCTCAAGCACAGTTTTGCTGCCATGCGGGTACTCCCGGGTAGGCTTAGCCATATTGCACGGACCAAATTGATACAGGCTGCGATTGGTGCCGAGCGTAACATTCCAGTTGTCAATGACGATCATTATCGATTCTCTACTCTGCAGTATCCATCTGCGGCACTGCTGCATTTGCTGGATGTCTTGTATGAGCTCGAAATCGTCAATCATGCGTCCATCACTATCCCCACTCTCATGATTGGCAATCCGCAAGATCCGGTGGTCAATTTTCGAGTCAAGGCCACCAATGCCTTTTTGAAGTTTGGCGATGCTCCCAACAAGGTTTTGTATTGTCTTACAAGAGGGGAACATCAACACATCATGTCCTGCGAGTACCAGTCCCCTTCCACCGTGGATGAAGTGACAGAAGTGATTCGTCTCTTTCTCAACACCAACAGTTTGGCGCCACCTCCTCCAGAGACTCCATATCAAGACTATGAAGTGACATTGGAAAACGGACAGCTGGATGGAAAACGATACATGATAGACCTGGAATTGGAACGAACGAACGAGGATGACAACAGCGCCGCAAGACGGCACAGTGCCGGTCTCGGAAACTTTTCGTCGTTTCCGAGTTTTGGAGAGCTGTCCAGACCACTGGAGTTCTAGGTTCCTTCCAGCACAATGGGTATAAGTTGGGCAGTCTACAACTACAAGTTCAGTGAGTTTGCGTCTTGGAATTTTTAAAGCGACACCAATGGCCAAGAATGTATAGTATAATGCATGCATGCATGCACTGGAAGCGACCAATAATAAGCATGCCAACCTGAGAAGAAGGACAATGGATGAACTCTTCTTCTTGTTCTCTCTCTAAAATAAATTGTGGTTGACCGAATTGGTTTTCCTACACATATGTATTGCTTGGACTTGCAGCACCATTTGCGGGTGTCCCTGTCAAAGCCCCAAGAACACTCGACCGAACCATGGCCAGCGCACCTTGTTGGGCTCCCTGCTGCATCATTTGTTGGAATTTTGCCTTTTGGTCATTGCTGCATTTGTAGTATCCGTAAACATTGGCACAATTTAAGCCCAAAGCCATGACGACAAGAATCAACCATCCCAACTCGAATTTGAGGAGTCCAATAATGAACAAACCACCCCAGATGACGGGAGTAACGTAGAGGACCATCCAAAAGACGTTGGAATCAAACTTGTTGCGCTGAATGGTAGATCCATTGGGAAGAGTATCGGCACATTCGAAAATCCATCGTGTGGTATCGCCTTCCACCTTGTTCCACCATCGGAGACCCACCAACAACCGTCCTGTAATGTTCTTGACCACCCAAAAATCGGCCGCCAACAAGAGGATGCACAGCACGGCCAGCATGATAAATTTGGATCCACTGGTCCCGCCTTGACCATTGCCGGTGAACCAACCTCCAAAGATGTACAGAAACATGGCGACTGCTTTGAACAAGCAGTGAAAGATGCAGACAGTGGGATGGGCTGATTCCGTCTTGAGTCGATCCAGCATGCCAGATCCACCAGTGCCGCCCATGCCATTGCCAGCGTCCATTTGTCCACTCATGGCCATTTGATCATGGGAAGGAGGCTGAGCCACACCATTGTGGGAAACATCAAAGGAAAGATCGTGTGATGCCATTTTAACGAGTTGTCGGTTAATTCTTCTTCTTCACCAATTCAACGTGCTGGTTGTAGCAGCTGTCGTAGCTTTCTTAAATCGAGTCGAAGGATCAATCGTAATAACGGGCACCGCCGAAAAAGATCCAATCCTGCTTGTCGTGGTCGATGTCTCTAGCCAGAGATCTTTCGCACAAGCCACAACTCCGTAATGTGAATTTCTGTTCTAACCGGTAGCTAGCTTGCTAGGACCGTCTCCGTTCGAGGATACTACCTCGGTCAATCGCTCCGCTCTCTTACAATACTAACTCCAACAAAGCCAATGATAATGCTGCTGGATGGTCGTCGAAGGAATGTAATGGGGAAGCATCCAGCAAGAAAAAGGACTGCGAACACAGTCATTGCAAGATTCGATTCGACGCGCAGCTGCGCGGAGGGGAACTCCGTAACCCTAACTAGATACTTTAAAGCCAGCAGGGCTAGATAGGCCCAAGAAGCCTTTTTCAACTCTGTGAAGCTGCCAAAGACTCCGGCACTGGGGAAGACGAGATGATCTGCCTACGCTGTAGCTACCTGGTACGAGTAGACTACAAAGAAGAGGTGGGATTACATTACATGTACCGTACGGGTAATGCAAAGAGTCTATTAGCTGGGGACCGATGCTGCCCGTGTCCATGGCATAGCCGGGTGTGTGGTCTGGTGAAGGATCTGGAAAGGGTCTAGCTAGCTAGCTAAGAGTGGGGCTGGAGGTGGAACTGGTGTTGAGCCTGGAGTGGGGACAGGCAGTGGTAGTTCCTGGAGTGGGACCTGGAGCAAAATTTGGAAACTTTATCTACCAATCAAATCCCAACACAGTATGGTCTTTTCAACTATTCCTCGTGTTTTGCTTCGGGCGGATCTCTTACATGGCAACTGCTTGCTTCTTACTTTACCCCGGGCCTAACAACCACACCATCAAGCAACAGCTCAAACTGCCTACAGACACCACATGGTGCGCACTTCCCCAGGAAGAACAATCCCTGAAGCAATCGAGCTACTCTAGCTACAATGCAGTCAGCTACAGGGAAATGGTCGTCTGGAACCTTCTCTGATGATGGCCTCATCACAACTGTGTGCTCATCATCTCGGTTGCGTGCGCCAAAATCCGGAGAGTTTGGCTTGTCCGGAGGTGGCAAAAGATACCACAGCAGCAAAGAAGAGATGAGCGAAAGATCCAACTTCACGCACCTACGTCACAGCCATCCAAAGCACGGAAGACATGAATGAAAGGAAAATGCGTCCAATCACAACCCAAAGGAGTTCGCTTATTCAGCTGACTCATTACCTGAAAGGTTGTTTTTCGAGAGGCTTCTCAAAACTGCTGCCAGGTGAGTTGCATCCTCACCACCTTACCACACGACGAACGCCGATCTTTGAACTTCTACCATCGCATACCGTACCAGCAGTTAGTTGCCAAGGGCTGGCAGCACCCGTGTAAAGGTGTGGAAACATAAAAGACGACTCGACTCGGGGTAATCCGAAACTTGCCCGTTCATTCATTCATTACCGCGCAACGAAGTCGTTTATTCCTGTTAATACTGGCCAGCCATGATTCGGACTCTGCAAACGACGGTACGAAAAGTGGTCCACCATGGCCGTCCACCGATCGGCGGGTTGAGGGTGACGCCCAAGCCTTCTCATCTGATGTCATCAGCGACATTTTCCACCAGGATACAGCATGCCGATGAAAAAGTGGCCGATGCAAGTACACGACAACAACAACAGCAACAAGAACAACAACAAATTGAACCTGCCTTGCTCAACAAGATTATCAATTCAGCCCATCATATACATGATATACAAAAGGCAGACCGGCTATTGGTAGTGGGTTCGGGTGTGGCAGGTTGCTCAGCAGCTCTAGTAGCCGCTGAGACGTATCAGATTCCGGTAACCCTGCTGTTTGCGGGAAATGTGCCTGAAGACTGCAACTCCTTTTGGGCCCAGGGAGGTATTATCTACCGAAATTATGATCCTGTTTCCGGGGACAGTGCCAAACTATTGGCACAGGATATTCATCGAGCAGGAGCAGGGCTGTGCGAGGACGATGCGGTGCAAAAGGTGTCCGAAGAAGGCCCTGATCGAGTCAGACAACTTTTGCTTGATGAGAGTCTCAAGAAAGTTTATGCTCAAGTACCCTTTGACAAACGCGATGATGGAACCCTTTCCTTGTGTCTTGGTAGGTTTATCTGATGATTATCTTGTCTGGATCTGTTGGTTATGTACCCCAAACAGTATTTGCCGCAAGCAGAGCTTCTGCATTCTGCTGCTGTTTGGTCGTGTTTGAAAACGAACAAACCTAATGTTATCTTGTTTGTCTATCCGTGAAGAGGCTTCCCACGCAGCGCCCAGAATTTTGCACCGTGCCGATCACACTGGACGAACCATTACGCAACACATCACCCAAGCCGCGGCTAGACACCCTCTCATTAGCATGCAACCTCATACAATAGTTACAGACCTGGTAGTGAAAGATGACGTGTGTTTGGGAGTGGCCACTCTGAACCGATTCTCTGGAGAACAAACTCTGGAGTACGCCTGCCGGGGAACGGTCCTGGCCAGTGGCGGATTGGGGGGTATCTATGAACATTCCACCAATCCGGCCGGTTTCAATGCATTGGGATCCAGCGTCGCATTGGCGTACAGAGCCGGTGCCAAGTTGAAAGATTTGGAAGAGAGAGATTTAAACATAATAATATATCGCTCTTGTAGCGTTGTTTCTTTGATAAAGGGTTTAAAGTGCCTTCTAAAGTATGAGAATTGATCACGTAGTACCGATCACCTCCGCACAAACAAACACCCATTAGCACTAGTCATTCGTTGTGTGTGGGGCACTATTTCGGTTCATTGTGTGTCCTGTTGTGGTACGGTGCGGTTTGAGTTGTTCATGTGTGTCCAGAGTTGGTACCGGTACGTTGTGTGTGGGGTTACGCTGCTGCACTTTTCCTGCGCCCAGATGTGCTCTGTGCAACAGCTCCTCTGCCCCTCAAACCTCCCGTTTTGTGGCAATGCCAACAACAAGGGCTACGGCATCTAGGGCGCATCCGGGCATAGTCTACGAGTTCGTCCATGGCTCAGATGGGGCATACTGCGTAGCCGTGGCTTGAGAGCACGGTGCCTTGCAAGTCTCGTCTAGGTTCGAGGAAACATGCATGGTTTGGGGTGCGTCGAATTGCGCAGGGGAAGAATCCAGGAACCTGGTGCCGTCATAGGGGCACAGGTGTGTTCATGCAGCGGCGAAGCAACATGCCACTATCGTTGTCGCTATCTGCGTGTCTCCTTGCCAAGCTAAAGTTCGGACATCTACTTCATATGCCAATATAATATGAAGCTGTGCAATTGTGGTTATCTGTCTTACAATGCCATAAAAATTGGCTTTCAAATGTGGGGGTTGTTGGCGTCGCTTCTGGAGATAGTTGGAGATGCATAAAACAGTGAGTGACCTTAGCAGGGCGGTTCAAAGCAACTTGCTCTTCTTCGTCGCTGTCTTCAGCAGCAGAATCAGGAACTATACAGTGGGCCCCTGCTGAAACCTTGTTTGAAAGGGCTCGCTTCGGCGACTGCCAAACCAGCGTAAGCGGCATCTCTGAGGCCTGATGTCTCCAAAGTTGGGCTCATTCGATGCAACTTCGTTGCTTCGGCTCGAATCTCGTTCAAGTCTTCAATGGCGGTCTCAAGCCCCCTTGCATTGCGAACAACTCCCACGTGATTCCCCATGTCGCAAACGTCGGAGCTGCTGATTGCTTATGTGCAGCGGTTTCAATGTGAGTCTGGCTCAAGTGACACTGACTGAATCGGAGGATTGTTTTGCACAAATGCTTCTAACTTTTCTCCGGTTCCCCGTAGACTCTTTCCTTCGCGCTTCAATGTAGTCGGCGATGACGCACGCAAACACCAGTCCTTCCAAAAGCGAAGTCGAAGCCAAGCGGTTTCCTCCATGAAGTCCAGTCCTAGCCGCCTCACCGGCTGCATACAATCCTGGCAATGACGTTCTTCCTGCATATCCGTTGCGATTCCACCGCAGGTGTAATGGGCCGCGGGGGTGACAGGCAACAAATCTTTGGCCAGATCCAATTTTTTCCGACTAAGGTGTTCCTGAATCGACGGGAAGCGTCCGTGCAACCAGTCACCGTCACGGTGTGTAATGTCGAGATAGACGTTGTGTTGTGATCCGTCACCTTTTTGGCCTTCTTCAAAGACTCCTCTTGCCACAATATCACGAGGTGCCAGTTCGCCATCGGCATGAAAATCTTTTGCAAAGGCTCTTCCAGAAGCATCACGCAAGATTGCTCCTTCTCCGCGCAGCGCTTCTGTGAGTAGGAAGCGTGCTTCGTTGGGAATGTACAAGGATGTAGGATGGAATTGAACATATT